TCACTGTCACCAGCAGGCACTCCGCTCTGTGACCCCCAGGACCACAGCCCACCTCCAGTGACCCCAGAGCTGCCACGCCTGCAGACAGAACACCCGCCCTCCTTCTGGCTCTCGGTCTGCCTGCGGCTCACTGCAGAGCAAGTCTTGTTTCCTGCGCGCCTGGAACTGCTCTGCCGAGAGGCAGTCTCACCATCTCCTCTGCATCTTACTTCCTGGAGGGCCATCTGTCCCACTCCCTCCCTTCAGACCCCCAACCGAGGTCCCATCACCTGCTACAGAGCACACGTTTGGAATCAGACTAACCCTAACTCGCCCTTCAGATCTGTAACAACCGGCCCAGCCACTTTCACGGGACGTGAACACAAGCTGGATCTGACTTCGACAGAGAAGGTGCCTGACTCTAGGGTCTAGTCAGAGAGAGGTCTGGGGCCAGCAGTGCCTGGGCACCGCCTGGGCCCTGTGAGCAGGGAACCACCCAGACCTGAGGAACCTAGATCAGCGTTTTCACAAGACCCGACGGTCCCTGAGCACGTGGGGCTCAGGCTGCTGGTCTGCGGACATCGGACTGGCCCAGGCCACGGATACAACTCTCACACGTGGCCTAGAAAGGATAACTAATGACACGTCTAAAAATCAAGAGATTTTGCACAAAACCCATCTCCAGCTTTTCTCAATCAAAGAGGGGGCAGCTCCAGTCCGCGTGCGCAGCGGCTGCCCCGTCAGCAGGGCAGGGGCTCTCTGTTCACCACACCCACACCCTCCACGATGGCCTCCACCCCCGTCGCTCCTGCGGCCTCTCGGCGCCCCCGGACATTTGGGTCTGAAGCTCCCTGGCACGTGTCCTGGGAGCTGCACCAGCCTCCTTGCCGTTCGTGCTCCGGCCTCACACCCACGGCTCCTCTGCCCGGACGCCCTTCCATCTGCGTCTGCATGGCTCCCCTGCAACCCCCTGGGGTCTCTACCCGTCGCCCCCCGCTCAGGAGGCCCTGCGGGGCCACCTCTGTCTTCCGGCCTGACCCTCCCACGTTTGCCCTCACAGGCCGTGTCTCCATCCGCACTCACGATCATGAGCACTGTATTTTTCCAGAATAACGCCTACAAAGCCTAGGGGTCACCTGGAACTCAACAATTCATTGATGAATGGATGAGAAACCACAGGCTGGGCCACCCCGCCCTCTGGGCTTCATTTTCTCCACTTGTCAAGGAGGGGGCTTGGTCACAGGACCACTCAGACCCTCCGGGCACCACTGACACAGGTTCTGCATGGTGGCAGGGCGGTGCCTTTGCCAGGGGCTAATGTGAGTGGCTGGACTCTCCCCTGTGACACCAGAAGGTTGCAGACTGAGCCACAAGGGCCGAGGCCCTTAGCAGGAGGAAGGAGAAGGGGACCTGGGTGGAGGACAGAGGCCGAGGGTGAGCCTCACAGAGGCCGTGCTTCTCATCTGCCAGGGCCTGATGTGCCAGGAGATATGAGTGGTGTCAGGACCCGTGGACTAGGATAAGCAAGGGTGGCAGAGGAAGCAACTGAGTGGACGGGCCAGGAGAGCGGGCGTCTCGTGCAGTCAGGGGAGCTGATGCTCGGGCCTCACGAACAGGGACTTACTCTCCCGACTTCAATGCACTCTGCTATGTTGTCATCTTATTTCATTTTTCTTTAAATCACTAGCAACGGCCCACCGCACTGATCTCCCCGGCTACCAACGGTTCACAACCCGGTGTCCGCCCCAACTTAGGATCAAAGAGCTGCAGGTCTACGAGAGAAAGGTGTTTTTTCCTGTTTTTTTTGGCTGCGTCGGGTCTTAGTTTCGGCACGCAGGATCTTTCGTTGCGGCGCACGGGCTTCTCTCTAGTTGTGGCGTGTGGGTTTTCTCTCTCTAGTTGTGGCGCGCGGGCTCCAGAGTGCGTGGGCTCTGTAGTTTGCAGCACGCGGTCTCTTTCACTGAGGTGCGCAAGATCAGTAGTTGTGGCGCACGGGCTTAGTTGCTCCGCGGCAGGTGGGATCTTAGTTCCCTGACCGGGGAGGGAGCCCGCATCCCCTGCATTGGAAGGCGATTCTTTACCACTGGACCGCAGGGAAGTCCCGAGAAAGGGTTTTGACCGAGCACGTGTGAAGGATGGCAACGAAAAGGGAGGAGGTGCCAGTCACTCAACTGCTCCCTAAAGGTCACACCTTTAAGAAAACGCTCCCACTGGGATTGTTTGGCGGGGGTCACACCTGCCTGGACAACAGGTGCGCTGGGCGGACAGGTGGGCTTGCACCCCTCAAGTCTACGACAGAACTGCCTGCTCTGAAACTGAAAGCTGATGCGTCAACGCCTGGGCTTCATTTCACGCGTCATCAGTTTTCCCAGGAGTAACCTAGCAACTCCTGGCGACTCTCCGTCTGATGGCGTTGCTGGGAAGTCTGCTCACCCCACCCTCGCTTGAAGCTTCATCACGAGCAGAGCAGAGGGGGTCACCTGTTCAGATCGACAGTGTTGCGTGTGTCCGTGCGGGGAGTTTGCGGGGTGGGGGGCGGACCAGCCCCCATGTCCTCCTAGGGGTCGCCAGGAGCTCCTCTCCAGAGTCTCCATAAGTAATCCACAGTCTGCTTGTAAAATCCATGATACGCTTCGCAGTGGAAAGATTGCCCTGCTCACCACCTTCCACGCGCGATACGCCAACCTGATCAGCCCTCCTGCCCTCTGCACTCGCTGTTCTCAGCCTGGAATATTCCTCTCCCAGGCCTTCTAGAGACAAGACTCTGCTGGCCATTCAAATGTCACTTCCTCGGGGACAACCCCCCCAACCACACTCCCCGAAGGCGTCCCCCCTCCCCACCTGCCGTCTCCTCCATCGCTCCCTCCAAGGTTCTTCCTACACTTACTGCTCTTTGAACTTACCGGTTTACCTGCTCATTTGTTTATGCTCTGTCTTTCCCACTAGGATATAGACTACTCCAAAGCAGAAACGCATGGTTTTTCTTGTTTACAAATGAACCTCTGGGCCTGGCAATACCCAATGATGGTGGATAAGGAACCAACCCTTAGGTAAACACTGCTTGCAGTCGAGTGATGGTGGATAAGGAACCAACCCTTAGGTAAACACTGCTTGCAGTCTGGGTGTTGCTATAAGAACCACACCTTCCCTAACAAAATTGATGCAATCACAGGCTCATCAAATCCTTCCTGACGCCCAGTGTGTGCAGTGCCTGGGCTACAACACTCAGGAGAACAGAGTCTGTTCATAAACAGACAGACCCTGCGAGTGGATGTACCCTGAGAGGGCGGGCCCGCGTGACGGGCGGCGGGTTTGCCAGAGCAGGTCATATAGCAACGGAGACTCAGTCTGCCGGGGCATCTCATTGCCCGTCAGCCGCCACCTCCCTTCCCTCAGGCACACGGGAGTGGGGAGGTAAGAGCATCCTCTTGACAAGTGGCCGGTGTGCCGAGTGGCTGGAGGACTCAGCTCCACTGACACAGGAGCAGAAAGCCCCTGCCCAGCTCCAGCCCCACTGCTTCAGGTGACAGCTCTGGCCCAGCATCACCACGGATCTTCAAAGCAGCCAGAAATTCAGAGTCGTAAAAAATCTTCAATCTCCAAAACCAGTGTGGGATGAAACCAAACTTGTCTCCAGGTGCCCGAGCCGCCCTGCATCTTAGGAGATCCTAGGAGAAGCCCCGTCGACTCCCTGCTCTCCCACCCCCACCAGGAAATTCAATTTTCTCCGTGGGCCTAAGAAGCCAAGGAAGTCATCACGCTCAGGTGTCAGGGACTGAGCATAGTTCAGAGGATCCTACCACGGGGCATCTGCATTTTTTTAAAGTTATTTATTTATTTTTGGCTGCATTGGGTGTTCGTTGCTGCATGCGGGCTTTCTCTAGTTGAGGTGAGCGGGGGCTACTCTTCGTTACGGTGCATGGGTTTCTCATTGCGGTGGCTTCTCTTATTGCGGAGCACGGGCTCTAGGCACTCAGGCTTCAGGAGTTGTGGCACACGGGCTCAGTAGTTGTGGCTCGAGGGCTCAGTAGTTGTGGCTCACGGGCTCTAGAGCGCAGGCCTCAGTAGTTGTGGCTCGTGGGCTTAGTTGCTCCGCGGCACGTGGGATCTTCCTGGGCCAGGGCTCGAACCCATGTCCCCTGCATTGGCTTTCCGGGGCCAGGGCTCGAACCCATGTCCCCTGCATTGGCAGGCGGGTTCTTAACCACTGCGCCACCAGGGAAGCCCCACATCTGCATTTTTAAAGATCACTGTCTTCTCTTACAAGCTATGCCTCCCTTGAACCACAGGAGTTAATCTCTAGTTCTCAGTGCTGACCAAGCCTAGTAGGCAAAAAAGATTAAATATTCTGAAGCAGAGAAACCCAACCAGGAGGGGCCTCTTCCATCCTTAACCTGAGGGTAGACGTCCTGGCCCTGTTTGGAGAGGAGGATGCAGGGGGTGGTCGGAAATCCCCTCCCCCACCTCAGGGCTCACTCCCTCTGGGGCTGGAAGTCAGGTCCCTCAGAAACAGGTCCAGGGTCCCGTCTGCAGCCCAGGGTCTCCTGTCTCACAGCAGAAATGCTCTGAGGACACGGTGTGGCCACCCTGGACATAGATGCAGCTGTATGCCACCACTGGTGACACTTTCTCTGGACATCCAGGCACACTGCTTATAGCCGAGGACCTCGCTCTGCTGGACACGCCCATGGCACAGGGAGGGTTTCACAGCTCAGTGACCAAAGACAGAAAACGCGGCTATGACCACCTCCTAGGTGACACGTGCATCCTCGAGAGGGACCCAGGGTCTGCATAGGTGCTGGCTGAGGAAACCTGGAGCACAAGAGCTTTTGCCAAAGAAGCGGAGCCTCGTGGATGTCCCCAACCACCGGGCCTCCCTACCCGCACAGGCTCCCATCTGCCCTGCTGTGGCAGAAGCCCCCGGCGCTGACGACGAAGACCTGCCACCCAGCCCCCACTGCAGGCTGACGGAGAGAAGGCACCTCTTCGCAGTCCAAGAGCCCCTCCCGCCTGGCGCTTACCTCCAGCGGGACCACCTGCATCAGGATGGCAAAGTTGGTGAGGTGTGTGCAGCGGCAGACAGAGTAGCTGAGGTTCCCTTCGGTGAGAGCGCAGCCCTGGTTTGACCAGATGCCTTCTCCGGAGCTGAGGACACAGGAGGAACCGTCAGTGGGAAGCAAAGCCCACCCTTGGCCCGTGGGCTGAGAAAGCGTTCTCACCACCAGGCTGAGGAGACTAGGGTGCTTCTGGTGTTGATCAGGCCCCACGAAACAAGCACCTCTTTCCTCCCGGGAGGGGAAAGCGGCATAACCACTTTGGCCCAATCACTTTGCAAAACACCTGGTCCAACATCCAATAAACATGGAGTGTCTACTGGCCATCTGTATGTCTTCTTTGGAGAAATGTCTATTTAGATTTTCTGACCACTTTTTGATTGGGTTGGTTTTGTTCTTGTTGTTGTTATTGAGTTGTATGGGCCCTTTGTATATTTTGGAAATTAAGCCCTCATCAGTTGCATCATTTGCAAATATTCTCTCCCATTCCGTAGGTTGTCTTTTCATTTTGTTTATGGTTTCCTTTGCTGGGCATATACCCAGACAAAACTATAATTCAGAAAGATCCATGCATCCCAATGTTCACAGCAGCACTGTTCACAATAGCCAAGACATGGAAGTAACCTAAGTGTCCATCAACAGATGAATGGATAAAGAAGATGTGGCACGTATATACAATGGAATATTACTCAGCCATAAAAAAGAATGAAATAATGCCATTTGCAGCAACATGGATGGACCTAGAGATTATCATGCTAAGCGAAGTTAAGTCAGAAAGACAGAGACCAATACCATATATCACTTATATGTGGAATCTAAAATACAACACAAATGAACATATCTATGAAACAGAAACAGACTCACAGACCTAGAGAACTGACTTGTGGTTGTCAAGGGGGAGGGGGGTTGGGGGAAGGATGGATTGGGAGTTTGGGATTAGTAGATGCAAGCTATTATATATAGAATGGATAAGCAACAAGGCCCTACTGTATAGCACAGGGAACTATATTCAATATCTTGTGACAAATCATAATGGAAAAGAATATGGAAAAGAATATATATATCTATAACTGAATCACTTTGCTGTACAGCAGAAATTAACGCAACACTGTAAATCAACTCTACCTCAATAAAATCTAGAAAGCGTGAAGTGTGCGGGTCCTGCAACCCAGCAATCCCACTTCTAGAGAATTCTGGGCTCTGTGCACAGGGATGCGTCTGGGGTATTTACTGAATGATGCGTGATACTAGAGAACATTTTAAAGTTACCTAATGTCCACCTCGGGGACCTGGATAAAATTTGGTAGGGTATATACATCAGTCAAAAGCAGCATGTATCCATATGGATAAAACACAGAAACTTAATATACAATGTTGAATGCATAATCATGATGCAAGGGCATGACACGAAAGAAGATCGTATATTTTCTATGAACATAGCCATAAATTATAGATAAATTATTGAGAAAACTCCCCACAGAGAGGGCAAGAGACCAGGATAAGATGTAAAAGTCTTTTACATATTTACTTTTTTATAATTTTTTAAAGGATAATGTTTTGACGCATTACTTGCTTTATTTCTTAAAGTATAAACCAAGACAAAAATGACTTGAAGCAAAAATGCACAAATGTTAACTGTGGTTCATTCTTGCGGTGAGAATATGAACGACTACAATTTTCTTCCCTGTATCTCTCTATATTTTCAAATTCGAAAAAAGGATGCTTAAATGGTTCTTCCCAGAAATTGCAACTTTGAGTAATCAGCAAAGACAAATCTTTGCTTCGGCCAAAGGCAGGAGCCCCTGGGGAAAGCTTTTATAAAGCTGAAGAAATTTAAAGGCTCTAGTTTCTCTTTGCTGTACATTCAGTTTTCACAGCAATGTCTGCCGTGGATGAGAAAGGTGGCCGTCCCAGAGGGGTGATGGATAAACACAGTCCTGCCGCGCTCCTGCGGTGTTCTGTGAACAAAGCACACGCTAGCGGCATCTTTATTTTCATCCCTGAGGCAGAGGGTGTTCCTGTGAGGATGCTGTGCGACTGTAGCTCTCGGTGAGCTTGGGCAGCGTGGAACCCGAGGGTGAGGTGGGAAGGGTCGTCTGGAGGAGGCTGAGGGGTGGCACTGAGCCTGAGGGCCGAGGTTTGGGGACAGCGGCTTCAGAGGTAGCGTTTGTGATGAGTGAGGTGGGGAGCATTTAGTAGAGACCAGAGAGCACAGCCAGCACCACTCGAACCTACCAGTTTTCAGGAGCAACCCCCTAGTAACGTCAGGATCAAAGGGCCTTAAAGACCGGCACGTCCTGCCCCACCCTGCCACCTGTTAGGGCTAACCTGTCTCCGGCCCTCGAGGAGAACCAGCGACACCGGCTGCTGGGCTGTATGTGACCTTTGTCCATGGAATGTATGAACGCCACACTTGAATTAGAGGGTGACCTGAGAAGTGGCAGGCACGAATTCGGGGAGCGTGGTCCTAGGATGGAACGTGTCCCCTCTGCTGGCGCCAAGAGTGACTGCGAATTAAAAACCGTGAAAGTCACATTTTCCCAAATGGAGCCACGAAGCCGTGATGATGTCTTCATTAACCAGGGGAGCTGAGTCCCATGTGGCATCACCTCTGTGTGCATGTAAAGATCCGCGTCCCAGGGAACCCGCGGAAACAAGAAGCCTGGTTCCCCGACTTGGGAGTAAATAAATCTGCCATGGCAGCCAGGTCAAGAGATACCAAATAACAGGAAAATACGTGTCTTACCCTGTGACCTAGGGAGTTGGCATCTGAGCAGAAAACTGTTCTTTCACATGCATAAATGGAATGTGTGTATATAAATACGAAAAAAATACTACATGTCATTGAAAAGAGATGTGGGCAGAACACAAAATAAGGATGGTGGAATGATGCAAGAAACATGGAACTAAACAACACCATATATTTCCCAAGAACATAAATATAAAACATGCATAAATTATCAAAAAATACACACAAAAATCTCCCCACTGTGGCTACTACAGGCAAGAGAAGAGATCAGGATAAGATCTAAAGGTCCAATGGGACATATGCTCTTCTTATAATGTTTTCTTTTTAAAAAGAATAATGTTTTGACATATTGCTTCTATCATTTGTTAAAGTGTAAGTCTAGGGAAAAAAAGTGACCCAGAATTCTAAGCTCAGTGAGAATATCTTTCAAAAATAAAAGTCTGCTGAACTTACTGCCAGCAGACTCACACTACAAGACAAGTTACAGGAATATACCAGACGGAAACTGTGATCTACACAAAGAAATGAAATAGCTGGAGATGGAAAAAAATGAAGGGAAATGTGCAGTTATTATTTTCTTAATTTGAATTGCTTTAGAGGATAACTAACTTTCTAAAGCAAAAATCCTAGCAATGTATTGTGCGTTTCTGGCATCTGTAAAGGTAAAATGTACAACAAGAATAGTGCAAAGGATGGGCAAGAAGAATTGTGAAAAGATTGTTGTAATGTCTCAGAATACATGTGTGGTGGTACAAAATATTATTGGAAGGTAGACACGGATGAATTAAAGATACATACTCTAAGCCCCAGGGCAACCACTAGAAAAAATTGAAAGGAAGTAAATACACCAGAAGTCAATAGGAGAGATAAAGTGGCACCAAAAATACACACAAATACACACTAGGGGGGTGGGAGAGGGAGGGCGGGCGGGAGACGCAATAGGGAGGAGATATGGGGATATATGTATATGTATAGCTGGTTCGCTTTGTTACACAGCAGAAACTAACACACCATTATAAAGCAATTATACTCCAATAAAGATGTTAAACAAATACACACAAAACTCCAACTGGAGTAAGAAAAAGAGAATATAAGAAGCAACAAAATAAAAGTAGATCATAACCTGGACAGGCGTGTGACCGAGCATGGACACCCTGGGCCCCCTCCCACCCCTCCTCTGCTCCCTTCTCTCCCCGGGGCCCTCCCACGCAGATAGTACCTGAAGTCCAGGAAGGCGCAATACAGGAAGATTCGGTTGCTCTCATTGGTAGCCTCGATGTACTGCCTTTGAGTCTGAAATGACAGAGGATGGACACGCCTCATGATCCAGCCGGAGAAGCCGAGCTGCTAAAACTGATGTGAGAGCCGCACCCTCACAGCCCACAACACCCCACGGGGTTGGCAATACACAAAGCCCTTTGACCTTCCATCGCAACCCTTGTGGTCGGAGGGGGTGGGTCACCCGGCCCCATCTCTCTCCCAGCTCTCCTTTGCCAGGGCTGCCGCCTCAGGGCCTTTGCACTTGCTGTGTCCTCCCTCTAGAAAGCTCTCCCCCAAGACAACGCCGTGGCTCCCTCACTCCCAGCCTTCTCCTCAGGAGACCCTGCCGGCTCACTCAAAACTATACCAACCTGCCCATTCCTCTTACCGCGTTTTTTCATAGCACTGATCTCCACGCAGCACATTATGTATTTACTTATTTGTCTGCTGTCTTCCTCTCTAGAGCATGCAAACAGCGAGCTATCTCGTTTACTGCTGTATCCCTGGTGCCTACCCTAGTGTCTGGCACACAGCAGGCGCTTACTAAATATTTATTGAACCAATGGACAAAAGAACGAATAAGTGAACACTTCCATCAATGACCCTGTTCCTAGGATTCTCGCTCGTCCCTGGGCTTTTCCTGGATGCCAGCTCAGGGCACCTGGCAGCAGCTGCTCTGCCCTCAACGAGATGCAGAGACTCATCCAGGAAACTTGCCAGGGAGCTTGGGAAGCCAGCAGCACCACAGGAAACTGGGATCAATGGTATCTAATCGACTCCCAATCAATAGTTCAAGAACCTCTTATTTGATGCCGCCGGACACCCAACCACCGGGCTGGGCTGCAGGAGAACGTGTGGGTCAGAAACCGATAGGGGCATCCTGTCTCTGATCACCCACTGGTTCAGGAGAGAGGGGCCTGGTACTCAGGGAGATGAGCTTACCTGAGCCTCAAACCCTATAAGGAAACTCAGGGAGCAACACAACCAAAGGCTCAAGAAAGTCCATGGGAAAAACCCTAAAAAGGTTAAGCCTCCCTTTTCCTCACCCCGTTTTTAGGCTGCGTCCGAGACGCCTGACCTCATCCACATGCCACCTGGGCCACCCCGGCTGGCACCCCAACCCACGTTCAATGCTGAGGACGGTTTTCAAAGAGTGGTCCTCACAGCAGCCTCAGCATCATCCCAGGCCATCCCTGGGTCCCAGCACAGAATCGGAAACTCTGGGGGTGAGGACGGCCTCTGGATTTTCACAAGTCCTTCAGGTGATGCACACGAACCTGAGAACCACTAAAAGCTAGACAGAGGCTGCCTATTCTGTCCCCTCCTCGTGTCTCAGCCTGCTGTGACCTTCATGCTCAGTCACAGACAGCCCTGTGGCTGCAGCCATTTAGAGCCACAGAAGGTCGTTAGCAGGGGAACTGCAGTGTGCGATGTGCAAACCCCACAAAATCGAAAATACACATAAGAACCTGCTGGTGACCCCTGCCCAGCCTCAGCGAGGCTTCCTTGGCCCCGGGCAGGACCAGACCCTCCAGGACACGGCTATGTGCCGTTTTTTCCCCTTTTTTTCTCCCTCTACCCCTATCCTGCCCCTCACCCTCCCCTCTCCCCACTGGTAACTGCTAGCTTGTTCTCTGTATCTGTGACTCTGTTTCTTTTTTGTTGTACTCACTAGTTTGTTGTATTTTTTAGATTCCATATATAAGTGACATCAGACAGTATGTGTCTTTCTCTGTCTGACTTATTTCACTTAGCATAATGCCCTCCAAGTCCATCCATGTTATTGCAAATGGCAAAATTTCATTCTTTTTTATGGCTGGGTAGTATTCCACTGTATATATGGGCCACATCTTCCTTATCCATTCATCTTTTGATGGATGCTTAGGTTGCTTCCAAACCTTGACGATTGTAAATAGTGCTGCTATGAACATTGGGGTGTACGTATCTTTTCAAATTAGTGTTTTTATTTTTGGTTTTTTTTCAGCTATAGACCCAGGAGTGGGATTGCTGGGTCGTATGGTAGCTCTGTTTTTAGTTTTTTAAGGAATCTCCATACTGTTTTCCACAGTGGCTGTATCAGTTTCCATTCCCGCCAACAGTGTAGGAGGGTTCCCTTTTCTCCACATGCTCATTTGTTATTTGTGTTCTTTTTGACGATAGCCATTCTGACGGGTGTGAGGTGATACCTCACTGTGGTTCTGATTTGCATTTTCCTGATGATTCGTGATGTTGAGCATCTTTTCATGTGCCTGTTGCCATCTGCATTTGCTCTTTGGAAAAATATCTTTTCAGTTTTTCTGCCCATTTTTAAATCAGGTTGTTTGTTTGTTTGATGTTGAGTTACATGAGCGGCTTCTGTAATATATGTTGGATGTTAACCCCTTATCGGTCGTATCATTTGCAAATATCTTTTCCCATTCAGTAGGTTGTCTTTTTGTTTTGTCACGGCTTCCTTTGCTGTGCAAAACCTTTTCAGTTTAACTAGGTCCCATTTGTTTAAACTACTGTGACGCTTGTGCAAAGTAATGAAATGTGATGGCAGCGGCACTAGAAGGGGGCAGCAGCCAGGCGCCCGCGTCATCAGAGGCCCGGAAGCTCCCCCAGGAAAAAGGGTCACCCCTCTTCTCATCGCCAGCCCTGCTCTGAGCGCAGGGAAGCACTTCCATGTGGGAGCGGCACAGAGGCCGAAGTCCTGACCCTCTGACTCTGGATCTAAATCACTCTTCAAGGGGAATTTAAAAATTAGGCACGACCCGCGAGCCAAGTGCCTGTGTGGTCGGCAGGGTGGAGGGCAGACCGGGGTCTGGGGCCAGGATCACACCCGAGATGGGAAACTCCTGCCTCTGTCTGGGTTCCTCCCGGCTCCGCGCCTGTGATGGAAAAAGCAGATCCCCTCCTTCCGTGTTTGAAGTTTGCAGCTGAAATGGAACAAAGGCTCTCAGCACGTCTCCAGGGAAGGAGTCCTAGACGGTTCCCAGGAACACCACTGGCTGGTGTGAACACACCGGCCACGCTGCCGCCAGAGAAGGGAGGGCGAGGCATCCAGGTCACGGCCCACTTTCCCAGAGGTGTGAGAGGCGCCGTCCGCCCATCAGCCTCCCGAGTGCCTGGGCGAGGGAGGAAAATGATCCCAGCCAGTCACCCCGGGGCCCAGGAGGTGGGGTGCCCCCACCAGGGTGGGGTGGGCGAGTAGCATCCCCCTTGAACCCCTCCTGGGTCCTGAGGCCGAGGACCCTGGGGGGCCCTGTGGTCCACAGGGAAGCCCTGACTCTTCACCAGACGTGTCCACCTAAGCACATCCCATGGGGAAGGGCTACACGGGCCCTGCGGAATCTCTCTTACGGGATCTGAGACTTCTGCCAACAACCATAAGGTCTTCCCATCTGGGGAGAAGCAAATGGGATTAATCGAGGATTCACTGTCTGCTGCCAGCATAGCAAGGGGTCTCCTTCTGAGAGACACACATCAGGAGAGGAGAAAAGCTACCCGACAACAGCCTGTGAATGTTCCTTGTTTAGAAATGTGCTTGCTTTTTAGGCCAGTATAATCGTCCCTCGGTAACTATGGGGGATTCGTTCCAGGAGCCCCGAGGATACCAAAGTCCACAGATGCTCAAGTGCTGTATAAAAAGTGGTGTAGTTTTTGCATATAACCTACACACATCCTCCTGTATACTCTAAATCATCTCTAGATTACATATAATACCTAATACAATGTAAATACTATGCAAACAGTTGTCAGTGCATATGGTAAATTGATATTTTGCTTTTTGGAAATTTCTGGAATTTTTTTCTGAATATTTTCTATCCAAGGTTAGTTGAATCTGTGGATGTGGTACGGAAGGTACGAAGGGCTGACTGTATATAGTTTAACTTATACATTGGTCGGAAAGGTACTTGCCTATCTTTGTCCCAAGCAAAACACAGATGTCTCCACAGCCCTTAGTTTTGACCCTTAGTAAAGCAACGGAAGGGGTCCAAGTGCCCCCCTCATAGCTGTGGGCACCCTCCTCTCCAGCCAGGCTCACCTCACAAGCCAGGGGCCAGGACTCTGCATGATTGAAACGTCCCACCTTTAGGGGAAGCAGGAATCACTAATGTTGAGTGGGGATGACGGGGGACACCGTTCATCCAGCCTCAGTCTCCTCTGGCATCTTGGGGTGCTTCTTTCTCCCACAGAATCACAGGCAGTCCCTCCTGAAGATGCTAAGACAGACTCCGGCATCTTAGCCTCTGGCAGGACAGGGGCAGGGCAGGGCCCCATGAAGGAGACACCTGAGAGTCACCTCTGGAAAGGGAGACCCGGGCAGCCTGCTGGGCTGAGCTGGCCCAAGTGCTGAGGGTGAAAGGTCAGACAGGGTGAGACGCTGAGACCTTTGACCTCACAGAGCAAGGGCTCCCAGGGGCTTTGCGGCTCCGTGCCCTCACCACTCCAGCACCATCTGTGCGGGACACAGTGGCACGGCCACCGGGTCCGGGGCAGAGACGCCCACCGAGGACCCATCCAGAGCCGGGAAACGCGGGGTCCACACGTGCGGGGAAACTCGGGTTTCCCCGCCTTCCCTGATCCTGCGGGGTGCTGGGCGCAGGGGTGGGTCTGGTGCCAGAAGGGAATTCAATTCTAAATGTGATCGCCCGTGGTTCCCCAGGCCTCTCTCCTCTGTTAAACCCCACGGCTCCAGTTTGAGAGGAACGGGGCCTGCAGATTCCTGACTTTTACGCTGATGGTTTATATTCGGTGTGTAAACCTGCCCGGCGGGTGAGGGAAACACGCAGAGAGGAAATTGCTCCGATGCTTCCAGCAAAAAGCAAAGAAAAAACACCTGTGAACTTACATGGGGATCTGGAATTAGAACAGCCGGCCTCAAAACTGAACAGAAAGTGTTTTCAAATCGTCCCCGTGGCCCAGGTAAGAGGAGTCAGGGAGGTCTCAGTGGAAAATGCGCTGACACGGGCTAGACTGGTCCCCAGGCCCATTCGTGCATCTGGCGTTTACAGCTGCGGCGTCTCAGAGCAGAGAGGCGGGTCCCAGGG